TTTTATTTATTAAATTTATTATTTATATTAGCTATAGTTGATTGTTTATGAAAATTGTAGATGCTCAGAGCAAAAGTGTTGTTCAAAGAAGATTCCAAATTCAAATTCGGATGGAAATACGATCATGTTTGGGATATTATTAAAAACTTTGAAAAATTTAAAGATGAAGCTGCGAGGAGCAAGAAAAACATTTTGGTTGTTATCCATCTTCGGAGTCAGAAAATCCAACACCCGAGTCTGCCCGACAAGAATCCGCAGGTATTTCTTCATTTTCTATAAATTTAAGTGACTCCGATCAATTTGCTACTGGTTCTCCATCTGAAAGACCTATCGGGGTCAAGAAAGTCAAACTAAAAAGAAAGGTAGATGATGATTCATCATCGCTCATCAATGCGATGAAAGAAGCAAACAAAAGACTTGTTGAGGAGATAAAAAATGCAAACGACCAAATAAAACATCAAATTGAGATGCACAATAGATCCCTCGCTTTAAAAGAAATGAGGGAAGAAAATAAAATTCTCTTTCAAGATGTCAGTTCCATTGAAGATCCTAGAGTTCGAGCATACATTGAAGCTGAAAAGACACGAATCTTGGAAAAAAGAGCTCAACAAGCCCAACCGGATCCATATCCAACCAATGCATTTGGCCAATTTTTCAATGATCTTGGAGGAAGTGGTGCCAACTTGTCAGATTACTAAGTATTCGTGCTTATTTTTAGTTTTTGGGTTTATGATGTATTTTTATTTTAGTACCGTGTGATCTTGTATTTTTGTTTCAGCACTAGTTATTGAAATGTTTTTCTTTAAACCGTGATGTATCATGTATTAGTCTTATTTCAATATGTATTAGTAATGTCGTTGTTATTTTAACCGTAATGTCGTTGTATTGCAATATTTTAATATTAAAATGATACCATATGAATAAAAAAATTTCTTATCCTAAATTTGTATTTTAACTACATCTTCATTTCAAAAGTGAAGAAGATACATATACATCTATGTGCCGATTGAATCAAAACTGTTACTTTTGAAAATATATGATTTAGTGCAAATTTACACTCTAGACCATATATGGTGTAGCGCATATATTCACATTTTAAAAACTGTTACTTTTTTTCATTGTATTATGTAATTTCTATCCTTTTGTTTGAACTTATGAAGCATCTCGTGTTGTTATACATAATTTTTTTAATTACTATTTGGGTAATAAACATTTATATAATATTACATATACATATATAGCAAATTATGTTAAATAAAAATTAATAAAATATATTTTTATTATTTAAGTAATTAACATTTTATATAAGGTTAAATATACATATATACCAATTTATTCGAAATAAAAAATAAATAAAAAAAAATATATTTAATGTAGAGAAAAATGTAAAAATTAAGATTTTTTAGTAATTTACATTATTATTATGAAAAATATATAATTAATATTCACTATTTCAAATATTATATGAAAACATATAAAATTAATATATAATAAAACATTATTTTAATAAACATGGGCTAAAATGAAAAAAAAAAAAAAAAAA